GAAGAATTAGGCGCACATGGATTTTTTTTTCTTCGCACACCTTTAGACATCAACACAAATTTGAAATATATTTACAGAAAGCAGCAGTCAACTTGAGCTTTTTGACATTAAAAAAAATAATAGCATGAAAGTAAGGTCTGAAAGCATTTTTCTCATTAATCTGTAGGGTTGTCATAAATTTGGCTTATTCTGAATAAACTGCTGATTCTGAACGTTTAGCCAAAAATAAGACCGGATCTTATATTAAATTTTGCTTCAAAAGGTGCCTAGAAATTATTTTCAAAGGATGTCTTATTTTTGTCGTGCTCAGAAACAGCATTTAAAGTATCGATTATTTAGAGCATTAATTTTATTATATCTATTTCAAACATTTGCTGTGTGTTTCCACAAGAACAAAATCCATCCATCCGGCTGACGATCTTATCTAGGACTTATATTACGGGCATCCTGAAAAAAATATGCTAGGACTTTTTCCAGGGAAACATGGTACAAATTTACTGTGTAAGTTTACTGTTTCCTCAGTTACATCTCTGACAATGTGTTAATTGTTAAGATGAGAAACTTTAAGCATTTTTGTGATAGACATATCTCCTGGGTTTAGATGAGTAATACAACTATATCTTTGGTGATAGACCTATCTCATGGGTTTAGATGGGTAACACAACTATCTCTTTGGTGATAGACCTATCTCCTGAGTTTAGATGGGTAATAAAACTATCTCTTTGGTGATAGACCTATCTCCTGGGTTTAGATGGGTAATAAAACTATCTCTTTGGTGATAGACCTATCTCATGGGTTAATTTGGGTATTATAACTATTTTGATTTGATTCAAGAACCGACATCACAGCACTCGGGGCATTCCCATAAGCTCTCCATCCCCATCTTCAGCAGCCAGCGAAGAGTTCTGATACTAATGGTGCCAGTAGCTTTCTGATTAAACGTCTGTCTTGCCTTTCGTCTGAGCCTTGAGCTTCTGCTAGAACCTCTCGTCACCCCCAACTGCACCAATCTCACCAGACTGTGGTGATCCATTTGCTCCTCCACATTGTACACGCACTCCCACAAGGCACTAACCACGTCTGCCCTATCATGTAGCAGTATTCCACCAAGTTGTGCAGAGCCAGCCAGTCTGTCCGCCTGTTCATTTCCCAACACACGTGCGTCACCCGGTGAAAAAATCCAGACAATACTCCTCACCCATGTCCTCTGCAGCGAAGCATGCCACTCTGCAACTAGCATACCTGTTCTGATCTTCCTCAGCCTGCTTTCTGAATCAGTTACAATTACAATGTGTTTGTGTGTCGTGTTCTCTAGTCAGCGGAAAGCTGCAGTGACCGCCTCCACCTCCATTCTTAAGCTGGATGTTGTGGTATCATATGCTAGGCTCTCCTGCACCAAACGTCCACCGTTAACTTTTGCTAAAAAGCCCCAAGCACTTCTTTTGCCTCTTGACACTGAACCGTCTGTGCAAATGATCAAATCCTCTGAGCTGCAAATGTTTTAAATAAAAATAACTATCCTGTGGGTGATATACCTATCTCCTGTGTTCAAGAAAGAATTACGTAAGATGTGTTCCGGGACATCTTGAAACTTCCAGCATATCCTCGAATTTAGGCATTAAAAAAACTGTTCTTTAATTTTGTCCGTTTTGATTTGAAAAATGTCCTAGGTGGTTTGAACATCGTCCACTTTGATTTGAAAACTGTCCTAGGTGGTTTAAACATCATCCACTTTGATTTGAAAACTGTCCTAGGTGGTTTGAAAATTGCCCAGTTTGATTTGGAAAATGTCCTAGGAGGTTTAAACATTGTCCACTTTGATTTGAAAAATGTCCTAGGTGGTTTAAACATCGTCCACTTAGATTTGAAAAATGTCCTAGGTGGTTTAAACATCGTCCACTTTGATTTGAAAAATGTCCAGTTTAAAGTGAAAATGGTATGTGTGTATATGTGTGTGTGTGTGTCTATTTATACATATATTAAAATCTTGTAATCTTTATTTCTTCTGTAAACTTCTATGAGTGCATGTGTATACAATGCTCAATTGATCTTTTCAGTGGTTGGGTGATGGTGTCAAAATACAAGTTTCTGTTATGCAGTACAAGTGATGTATAAATGCAGTGTTTAATTATTTATGATAACAAACATCTAGACAGTGTATTGATTAGCACTGATAGAATGAGAGAAATTATATGTTAATTATGTTAAAACTGTGATCAACTGTTACTGTCTGGACCAAGGCTGTGACGGATAACCAGATATACAGATCACAGAAATCTCTTAATTACATAGGTACAGTAACGTGATTTTATTGTGAGATGGGGATGTGAGAAAAAATCCTTTAAAATTGAAAAATTCATATTGTATTTAATTTCACAAAACGATCAATATAAACTTCAGTATAAGAGTAGTAATGTACAGAAATGTATTGTAATACTATAAACCTGTTACTTTAAAATAATCTATCACCTCCTTTGTCTTTGAGACTCTAGCTTTCTGCCCGGCAATGTTCCATTTGTTTCGCAGAAGTATCATTTGTGTTTCATTTTGCCTCCTATTGCATTTCAAACCAGTCGATGGACTTTGATAAGATTCTTTCTGTTTTTAGCCTTATACAGTAGGGTGTAAAAGTAATCTGTGGATAACTTTAAATATGTATGTTTGCAAAACTCACTTCATTGGATGTTTTTTTTTTTTTTTAGATGACAGATAATAGAAACTGATGATTAAATGAATGACTGCTAATCAAAACTGTACATTTTAATCACTTGTTACTGAAATATACATCTGATGAGATAGCAGCGAAATATGCCAGGCAGTAAATTGTGCAATCTGTTGTTCTTCTTTGTTCCCAAACTTTCTTAAATGGTCGTCGTTTTCTAGACACAGCATTACTGTCCAATGTGCTCATAATTGTTTTTTTATTTTTTTTATTTGACCGATGCTGGGTTGATATAAATTTCTGTAACCTATGGTGGCATTTTAATGGTTTGAGATGAATTCTGTCAGTATTCCACAGCTGTGGATTTCAAGCTGTACGATAGACATGGCCAGTGAAAACACTTTTTGGGGTGCCAAGTTAGTCATGCGTCTTGGTACACTTGTTTCCATACCAAGGCACTTACGTCTTTTGGAGGTGACAGATTTGATTCCCAGCACAGCAACTAAACCTTTAGATGTTTATGTTGTCTAGTATGTCCTTTTGTCTTTCTACTCCTTTTTATGAGTGCCGATCAATACATTGTCTGTCTGTTTATTATACATAGTGTTGTATTAAAGTAAACAGTTGATATATAAGGTTACAATGTTAAGAATGACTTTATTCAAGATGGTGGTTTTGTAAGAATACAGTACTTAGTTTGGCAATACGAATGGCTGTCATGTAAATATGTAGTGTTAAAGTTGACATGCAAATGGCAGTAGTGTGAAGAGACAGTATTAAAGTTGACTTTGTTAATGGTGGTGTAAGAATACAGTGTTCAATAATGGCAATACAAATGGCGGTCATGTAAATATGTACTTTTGAGAGTACAAATTGTGGTAGTGCAATTGTACGCTGTTAAAGTTGACTTTGATGGTGTAAGAATACAAGATTCAGTGTGGCAATGCTAATGTCGTTCATGTAGATATACAATATTGAAGTTGATAGTACAAATGGCGGTAATGTAAGGGTACACTGTTAAGCTGACTTTGTTAGTGGTTGTGTAAGAATACAGTGTTCAATAATAGCAGTACAGATGGCGGTCATGTAAATATGCAGTGGTAAAGTTGAGAGTACAAATGGTGGTAGTGTAAGGGTACACTGTTAAAAAGTTGGCTTTAGTGGTGTAAAATTTCAAGATTCAGTGTGGCAATGCAAATGGCAAACATGTCGATATACATTGTTAAAGTTAGTGATTAGTAAGGATTATCATCAAAGCACTCTAGACAGATCTATAGGTGTTCCAATCTCCTCCACAAAAGCTTCACAAGTGCAAAACGACTGATGATTCCTGTTCTGTGTTGGTTAATGAAACATCTTATCCCCTTAGTGAAAAGTTTATTTCAAGGTGTTCATAGACATTGGTAAAGTTGACTTTGTTAACTCTTTAAATACCACGCTGTTATTCCTACAAGGCATTCAGCCTGAAAGCCTCTAGGCATAAGAATATAATTCCATGCGTCTCTGTGGGTTACAGCTACACAATATGAGAGATCTGGTCAACGTAACAATCAGGGCAAAATTTTGAAATGTAGAAGCTTGTGATAAAAGAAGTTAAGGAACCTAAGTTAAGGAACATATATGATGTATAGAGTAATAAATTGATGTGTAGTGAATTATATGGTAATGAAAGAGTTAATAGCGGTAGTGTAAGTGTTAAAGTTGATTGTGTTAACGGCAGTGGTGTAAGCATACAGTGTTAAGGTTGATAATGTTAATGGCGGTGATGTAAGTAAAAAGTGTTAAAGTTGATAATGTTAATGGCGGTGATGTAAGCAAAAAGTGTTAAAGTTGATGTTAATGGCGGTGATGTATGCAAAAAGTGTTAAAGTTGATAATGTTAATGGCGGTGGTGTAGGAATCCAGTGTTTAAGTTGACAGTAGACGTGGCGTATTGTAAGTATACGTGTTGGTTGAACAGTAGAAATGATAGTGATGTAAGCATACAGTGTTAATATTAGCATCGGCAATGGTGGTAGTGTTAAATTTGACAGTAGAAGAAACAATGGTGTAAAGATATAACATTAAATGTATGAGTACAAATGGCAGAGTTGTAAAGATATATTGTTAAAGTTATGCGTACAAATGGCGGGGGTGTAAGCAAACGGTATATTGAAGATGACAGTACATGCAATAGTAGGAATGAGCACCACAGAAATACTTATGAATCTATTTCTCCCGCAAACTCAGTGAATGAGCTCGCTAACGGAGACGGTATCCTGGGAACCTTCAAGAGCCAGGAAGACATCCATAAACCGAATGCGGACAGCAGGAACACAGTAAAGATGTGTTGCTGGCTTTATTTGGAGCCCACGGATCCGTTACTCCCGCCGATGATCATCAGGACACCCCCGATAAGCCCCAGGCCGGAGGCAACCACTGCAAGTCCATAAGAGTAGTGCAGCTTGGCTCCGGTGGCGTCGAATTCGTCTCCAAAGACAGCGACGGCTATGAGCCAGCCGATTGCTGGGGAGACGAGCAACGCATCAGTTTTATGTATGTGTGTGTTTCTATGTGTATGTTTGTTTGTATGCAGTGACCTAGTAAGATCGGGGGGATACCCGGGCAGAAAATGTTATTCGTCATCTAATACACAGGCACACACATAAATATATATAATTAAAGGAACATATATTTACCATTGCCCCCACCCTCTTTCCTCTCTTCCAAAGTGATGACACCCGGAGCCACCCGCACCACTTCCTACGCCTCTGTACGAATATATGTGTATGTATGGTTCTATGTTTACATATGCACCCGTAAAATCACTTCAAATCTGCATGAAGACGGTTAGATCGACCTAGCCTAGAATCGGTTGAGTGGAGTTGAACTGAGTCAAGAATTAAAATCATAGCACTCGGGGCATTCCCATGCGTGATCCGTCCTCGTCTTCAGCAGCCAGCGGGTAGTTCCAATACTGATGGAACCGGTTACAATGTGGTTTTATGTCCGTCTTGCCTCTGCCCTGAGTGTAGTAAGCCGACCAGACCCTCTCATTCAGGTGTCTCATTCTCTCCTAAAATGGGTATCAGATAAAGTGATAGCGGCCAACGTGATCAAAACCCCCATCGCCCGTCGAGCAGACCACGGCGGTTTCCAGATTTTTGACTTCAGGAGGCTTTGTAGCAAACATAGGATCCTTACACAGCCTTCCCCCCCCCCCCCCTTTCCCCCAACACACGTTTTTTTATTGGGAGGAAGAAGGGCGCTAGTGTATGGATAAAATGCTGAAGTTAAAAGAATAAATTTGTGTAAGGATACAGTGTAATGTTAACACTAAAAATGGCCAAAACTGCAAATTACTGCCTTATTTATACCACTTTTACGGTGAGGGGGGAGGTCTTTGAGCCTAAGGATTTACGGCCACATGGCTAGTGCTGTCGCCACAACTGTGCAAGTGAGTATTTTATTTGGCCCCCGACAAAAAAATCCCCAACCTTACCGAGGATTCGAGCCCAAGTCTCCGGCTTGAGTGCGGCGCATTCTAATCGTTTGACCAGCCGCTCCTCACTAAAAACGGCGAAGGTGTTGAAATAAAGTGTCAAAGTTAAGACTATAAATGGTCATGTCGTAAGGATACCTTGTTAAAGCTGACATTAATCAAAAGCGAGTCTTAACAATAAAATATATATATATATATATATATATATATATATATATATATATATATATATATATATGTGTGTGTGTGTGTGTATGTATATATATATATATATTTTTTTTTTAATATGTAAAAGTAAGGGACCCATTTTTACGCATTTAGGCGAATGGGGCATATAGGACTAGACCTATATTTTTTTTACCAATGGCACAAGATGTGTGATGTGGTCAGCATCATGCCTGCCGCCTTTGCTTCCCGGGACTGCACCTGATACCCACTCAAGGCTGGGTCAACCTGGAAGCCAAGGTCATTGGGGGGGGGGGTAAGAAAAGTATATCTCCGCCAGCGAGCGAACCCAGGACCTTCCGATCCGCGGCGCTCGTCTGGCCGCTCTGCCACGGCGACTCCCATAGCTATATATTAGTCAGCAGATTATCCTCGCTGCGTATCGAATCATTAGAGTCCATAGGTGCTCGGATCCTCCCCTTAGTAAATCTCTCCGCATAAAGCGGCTCACGACACCAGTTCTCTGTTGGTTTCATATTCTTCTTTGGCTTCCCGCATAGTGCTGTTGTCTGGCCAACCCACTTTTAACATGTTGTTCTTGCAGTCTGGTCATGGTTGCAGATTCACAGTCATCCCTTGGTTCTCGCAAATGTCCCACTTCTCGTGATCGACTGTAGAAAGACCTGGAATCAAATTTGGTGACGTTACTTCCTTAGGCAGACGCAAAATGGCTGTCCCATGTGTTTCACGTGTGTTAGATTTTATTTTTATTAAGTGGTTTCACCGTCACTTTATGTTGTACTTTCTGTTTCTATATTGTCCAGTCTACTTTGAGCTGCAAATGGGACATCCTAAGCAAGTCAGTCCCCCCCCCCCCCCCCCCCCCCCCCCCCCCCCCAAAAAAAAAATCTGGAATTTTATATTATTACTTTTTATTAGGGAACTAATACATTTTAAGAGATTAGATTATGTAAGCCGATTAATTGTATAAGCCATACTATTTAATTAGTATTAAAATGTTTTTCTCTGGTGTTTTTTTTTTAAGTTTATGTACGTGTATATACATATTTACAAGTTCTATCTCCGAGCTTATTCTTTTGATTTTTTTAAAGGGGAGGGGGGGGGGGTGGTATTAAGGAAACGGCCTGAAATACACCGGGAAAAAAAACGGAACTTTGAGAGTGAAAACGGGGGTATCGTTAGCCCAGGGTGGTGACGTCACGTCAAGCTGGAGACGTCATTGGCTTGTCCGCCCTCCGCAGTATCTTTTCCTGCAAGCCCATCAGCTTGCTTATTTCACTGCACGTAAGTGAATCGTTGAACAAGTTAGCTTCTTAATTAAATAAAAAATCTGTAATGACAAAGTACACGTTGCAGTAATAAAGCCTTCATCAGAAAACAATACAAATAAGCCGACCTCTGTTACGATACAAAGATGTGTGTAAGCGGAGGAGGAATAATACAGTCACTGAGAAAGCTTCATAGGAACAACATTGCATGACCCATGTTGCGTGGAAGGGGCAGATCTGGAAGGGAATGACAATGACGAAATAACGATTGCAGACCGGATGAAAGCTGTGAGTCTGAGAAATGGCACACTAAATAAATGTAATCACAACAGCAGTCCGGATATTCTTTGCTCTGACTGCGGAAGACTTTTTATTAATGTGTTTGGGTCTTGCTAGTAACACTCGCCATGGGCTGTGAGTCCAATGCTTCCACATAGCACACTATAACACTATCGTCTGGAAAGGTGACAACAAAAACAGAAATTGTTAAAGCTGACAGAAGTCATGATGACAGTGTAAAGATGCAATGTTAGAGGTGGACCTTAACGGTGGCAGTGTAAGAGCATCATCATCAAGTTCCTTGCCGACTGACGTGGGCGATGGTTCCTCTCCACAATCTGCGATTTACAGCTGTGTATATCAGTTCGTGTTTGACACCCTTTTATGCCATGACAAAAAGGTTGTCAAAAATATTCTCGTACTGTCTTCCTCTGTTTCTCTTTCCACATATTTTTTTTTCAGCTGTCACCTCTTCCCATACCACGACCAAACTTGTATGATGACTAAATCTTTTTTCTGTTTGTGATAAGTTGTCTTCAAGCCCTCGCCTCTTTCAAAACACTTGCGGTAGCTATTTTTATCTGCCTAAGGAATTCTAATGATTCTTCTGTAAAGCCACATCTTTGAGGCCTCAAGAAATTGTTCAGACTGTTTATTAATCGCGCTGGAGTCACAGCCGTATGTTAAAACTGGCTCTACATAGCATACCATAATTCTTTCCCTTAACATCCAATGACACAGATTTATTGCTTAAAATGTTCTTCATTTTATAAAAGGCAATTTTGGCCTGTCCTATTCTGTTCTTTATCTCTGTAATACATCTTCTGTCGGATGTTATCCACGTGCCTACTTAAATTCCTATAATATCCTAAAATAACGCCTTTGACTTTTTTTGTACATTTAAGCACAATTTGTTGTTGTTGAAATCACCATTACTTCGGTCTTGTCATTATTCAAACTGAGGCCCATTTTATAACCTTCTACCACCACTGTATTTATCCATTCCAGTATTTCTTTCTATCTTGTCGCTGTCTAGACCCTGTCATCAGCATTAACGTAGGTTGTTCATTTTATGACCACCAACCACTGTTCATGGCAAATCCATGATAGATCTCATTATAGATCTCACTGTATAATGAAAACGAATCAGTTGATGACACACATCCTTGTCTTACGCCCCTCTCTATGTTTGAAATATTCCCAAATGGTTATTAATTAATAAAGCTTCTGTTTGCTGCCAACACGTGTTCTTTATAATTCGTAAATCCCAAAGAGTAACAAAAGAATCATAAAATGCAAAGACGCAATGTTCAAAGCTACAAGGAGGAAAAAGATGCACAGTGTGAAAAGACGGCAATGAAATAAAAAATTCGAGCAATATTTACCAGAAACAATCAAGAGAGCTGCTGATCCCATGCCGATGTCAGTGTTTCCCCTGCAGTTCTCTTTAAAGATGAAGCGAACGATGAGGAAGAAAGCCAGGTTTTGACACATGAAGCCAATAATTGCAAATGCCTGGGTGACGCCATACTCCACTGAAAAGTATTTTTTTAATAGTATTACAAGTTTTACCTAAATATTAATGTTGGGTACATAATGAAACACGCCGATATGTAGCATACTATACATTAATCTGCTGCAACAATTACCGTCCTTTTCAGGATGAAATTTTTCCTTATTTGAAGCACTACTCTGGCTCTTGCCAGGGGCCGCAATATAGCTAGACCATAATAATGGCCAATTGGCTGAACGCGGTTTCTGGGACCTCTCCACGGTGATCCTCATCCACATGGTGGCACATTGTTTATCGCTTGTGTGATGTCCTGGTGGGGTAGAAAGTCGGTCAGTCAGTCTGAACGCGGTTTCTGGGACCTCTCCACGGTGATCCTCATCCACATGGTGGCACATTGTTTATCGCTTGTGTGATGTCCTGGTGCGGTAGAAAGTCGGTCAGTCAGTCTGAACGCGGTTTCTGGGACCTCTCCACGGTGATCCTCATCCACATGGTGGCACATTGTTTATCGCTTGTGTGATGTCCTGGTGGGGTAGAAAGTCAGTCAACATGGTCAGCCAGTTTGTCTCTCGCTCTGAATGTGGTGGGTTCGTTTCCTGTATGCGTCATTCAGTTCACTCGTTGTAGTTTTAAAGCAAAACATAAAATAAGCCCGATCTGTAAAACGAGTGGGTTTACAAAAAGCAGGTTCTGTAATAAGACCAAAGTCCAGAAGTGGACGAACAACCAGAACATTTGTCGCAGGATTTTACTGCCGGTGAACGCAAATAATAATAATAAGAGAAAGAAGGAGGAGAATTGCGTTAAACTCCAACATGTACTGATTTAAAGTAAAAACTTCATTGGATAGCACGAGCTTAGGTAACGTCGTCTGGGACTGAAATAGTTCAGCAGTAATGTATATAAAGGATCAGGGCAATCACAGAGATTTCAAAACTATGAACAACGAGAAAAAAAAGGCCAGGTGGTGTTTTCTTAGCGCAAGGAAATCTATTAAAGCAAATTAAAGTTACTTTAAACTTTAAGTATTTGGCTTTGATATCCAATAACCGATGTTGCCTAGGGCTGAAATATGGAGAACACTTAAAAACAGTAACTAGCAAGATACACACATTCGTTAACTGGTGCCTGCGCAGAATAGCAGAAATTTATGGAATGAGAGAATCACTAATATCGCATTTTCTAGTTGTGAAAAATATCAAGGGATCTCTCTTTCATGTTCTGTAGCCTCTGACTTAACCATAAGCGATACCATGTGACTGTCTGATTTATCGTTATGTCGTACCATCAATATATATACAGCCAGCGACTGTCTGATTTATCGTTATGTCGTACCATCACTATGGGTACAGCCAGCGACTGTCTGAATTACCGTTATGGCGTACCATCAATATAGGTACAGCCAGCGACTGTCTGATTTACCGTTGTGTCGTACCACCAATATGGGTACAGCCAGTGACTGATTTATCGTTATGTCGTACCATCAATAAGGGTACAGCCAGCGACTGTCTGATTTATCGTTATGTCGTACCATCAATATGGGTACAGCCAGTGACTGTCTGATTTACCGTTATGTTGTACCACCAATATGGGTACAGCCAGTGACTGTCTGATTTATCATTATGTCCTACCATCAATATGGGTACAGCCAGTGACTGTCTGATTTATCGTTATATCCTACCATCAGTATGGGTACAGCCAGTGACTGTCTGGTTTATCGTTATGTCGTACCATCAAAATGGGTATAGCCTGTGACTGTCTAACTTACCGAAATCGGTACCATTAATAAAGGTACAGCCACCAAATGTCTCACTTACCGTTAGCGGTGCCATCAATATGGCTGCAGCCACTAACTGTCTCAGCGCAGACCCTCCAAAGCCCGTAGTGTGTCTGTTTCACCACAAGCCAGGAGGTGGTGGTAAAAGCCAGCCAGCTTCATGAGACGAAATACAACGTTAAAATCATGTTTTAAGACTCGTTCAACCTCGCATGACAGTTTATGTTTTAAGACTCGTTAAACCTCGCATGACAGTTTATGTTTTAAGACTCGTTTAACTTCGCGCGACAGTTTATGTTTTAAGACTTGTTAAACCTCGCTTGACAGTTTATGTTTTAAGACTCGTTTAACTTCGCACGACAGTTTATGTTTTAAGACTTGTTAAACCTCGCTTGACAGTTTATGTTTTAAGACTCGTTAAACCTCGTATGACAGTTTATGTTTTAAGACTCGTTAAACCTCACATGACAGTTTATGTTTTAAGACTCGTTAAACCTCGCATGACAGTTTAAGTTTTAAGACTCGTTAAACCACGCATGACAGTTTATGTTTTAAGATTCGTTAAACTTCGCATGACAGTTTATGTTTTAGGACTCGTTAAAACTCGCATGACAGTTTATGTTTTAAGACTCGTTAAACCGCGCATGACAGCTAATGTTTTAAGACTCGTTAAACCTCGCATGACAGTTTATGTTTTAAGTTTCATTAAACCTCGCATGACACTTTATGTTTTAAGACTCGTTTAACCTCACATGACAGTTTATGTTTTAAGATTCGTTAAACCTCGCATGACAGTTTATGTTTTAAGATTCGTTAAACCTCGCATGACAGTTTATGTTTTAAGATTCGTTAAACCTCGCATGACAGTTTATGTTTTAAGACTCGTTAAACCTCGCATGACAGTTTATGTTTTAAGATTCGTTAAACCTCGCATGTCAGTTTATGTTTTAAGATTCGTTAAACCTCACATGACAGTTTATGTTTTAAGATTCGTTAAACCTCGCATGACAGTTTATGTTTTAAGATTCGTTAAACCTCGCATGACAGTTTATGTTTTAAGATTCGTTAAACCTCGCATGACAGTTTATGTTTTAAGACTCGTTAAACCTCGCATGACAGTTTATGTTTTAAGACTCGTTAAACCTCGCATGACAGTTTATGTTTTAAGATTCGTTAAACCTCGCATGTCAGTTTATGTTTCAAGATTCGTTAAACTTCGCATGACAGTTTATGTTTTAAGACGTTTAACCTCACATGACAGTTTATGTTTTAAGATTCGTTAAACCTCGCATGACAGTTTATGTTTTAAGATTCGTTAAACCTCGCATGACAGTTTATGTTTTAAGACTCGTTAAACCTCGCATGACAGTTTATGTTTTAAGATTTGTTAAACCTCGCATGTCAGTTTATGTTTTAAGATTTGTTTAACTTCGCACGACAGTTTATGTTTTAAGACTTGTTAAACCTCGCATGTCAGTTTATGTTTTAAGACTTGTTAAACCTCGCATGACAGTTTATGTTTTAAGACTTGTTAAACCTCGCATGACAGTTTATGTTTTAAGACTCGTTAAACCTCACATGACAGTTTATGTTTTAAGACTCGTTCAACCTCGCATGACAGTTTAATTAAAAATGTGAAGAAATTAATAACCCTTTATACGACAATTACCAGAGCTTGTTTGTGTGTGCGCTAGAAATAAAGGTGCCGGTACACACCACAAAGTGTTTAAGAAAAGGTACTATTACTTGCCACAAAATATCTATTACGGTAGCGCTGAAACAAACAAAAAATGCCAAGAAAGGTGCTTTACTGTCAACCGCCTGAAAAACAAAAGGCCCTGACAATGAGACATTGGGAATATTGTTACAGGCCGAAATGTGTATAGGCAAATCAACAGTCGTTAGGTAATGGGTGGTCAATATCATGCCGGCTGCCTTTTCTTTCTCTTACTATCTTGCCAGCGGTGAAAAGACGCGAGGGCGGTCTTTTTTCGAAACCGCCCTCTGCTGGTATCGAAACCTGGTTCATCGTGATTTGTAGAATGCAGTCTCTGATGTCTAAAGTGCAGAAGGAAATACACTTTTTCATAGTGCACACGTTGGCATCTTTACGTCTTTTCGGTCAACAGTGTTCCATTTTACAATAAAAAGGCGTGGGAGATACAGCTCAAGTTGATTCTGATTTTTAAAAAATACTATGAGGTAGCCCGTGGCGCCCTCGTCTACGCCAATTGACAAGAATTGATAACACGTAAATGCTGCCTCTCGATTTGATTCCAGGATCATAAAGAAGAAGTTTCTTCTCATCATAGTACAATGCATGAGCAGCATTATGGAAAGCATGTGTAAAAGCCTACGCAGATGGCTAATGGAGAGCATGATTCGTCCAAAGCTGTATTACGCAGATGGCTTTTGAATGCTAAGTAAACTACTGTTTATGTCTCGCCTGACAGCATGTCCCTTAAATTTAAAATGTGTGAACTCTTCTTGTTGCTAAGTAAATGCTTCTTCTTCTTCTCTTCTGTGGTATTCTTCTTCTGCTAGCTTGACCTTCTGTCTTCTTCTTAAAATTATAAAAGTTCTTCTGATTCTTCTTCTTCTTCTTCTCCTCTTCTTCTTCTCTCTCTTCTTCTTCTTCTTTTCTTCTCTTCTTCTTCTTCTTCTTCTTTTCTTCTTCTTCTTCTTCTTCTTCTTCTTCTTCTTCTTCTTCTTC